AGCCTTCCTGATCAGTTTCTCCAGCCTGGATGAGTCTCTGGTGATGAGCCTGGTTCTGTAGCTGGGCTTTGTAGTCAAATATGTTTGAGTTTTTGGTTGAGGAGGAGCATCCAGTGTGTTTAAAAGCAAAGATTAATGAGGGTTTTTAAGAGCCATCAGAGTGCAACAGTCAAAGGCATACTTTTAGATGTTGCATTGGTTTACAAGTATAATTATACAAATCTTAAATTGGCATCTAGATACCAAATGCATTATACCACTGGCTTATAATTACTGAATCTTCAGGTCTAAAACACAAATACAGCGTATGATAGAGGTGGGAAATTCCTGGAATTAACTTTAACAGCTTACGTGCCGGTGATTTAATGAATATTATTATATAAGAATGCGCAATGTAACGAAAACTGAAGAAAGGGTACCGTAGCACACGAGGAAATACACCTGTATGGCCTTTCAACATATAGCAATACAGTCATTTTCTACAGCTGACACAGCTGTAACTAACTGTAGACCTAAATTTAGTGTCAACTGGGAGAATTTTCAAATAGCCTTACTACCAAATACCCTACAGTCCACTTTTTGTTTTGATCTTCCACCCTCTTCCGTTAGAGGCTGGTCACGTGACCAGAACGTCCATCCAATCCGGTGGCAGAAGCACAGGGCTCGTAATTTTGAACAGATGGGGAGCTGCCAGGCTGTGGAGAGTTTCTCCGTAACTAAACTAAAGGTTGTAGCGAGAAATGCGTAAATATTTCTTCGAGTGATGGATAGTATCCGTCGCTACAGCGAATGAAGGAAACCCTTAGCGCTGCCCTTCTGTGATAAATATGAGTTCTCATGTTATCAGCCCTGGACCGTACCGAGCCACGAAATTGGTAAGTTAAAGTTCACGAGCTAGCTAATACCTAGCTACCCAGTGTAAGATCGTCATCAACGGAAGCGCTAAACTCAGCTGCAGCTGCTGCAAGAAATTCACAGTAAAGTATCCTCTCTGTGTTTCAGCGTTTCAAAATTGTGGCTCTCTCTGATTTAATATCATATTCATGACTTTGTTTCAGCAACAAACGTCACCTGTAATCCAGCTAACGAGACCGATTAGTTTACATGGCGTTTGAAAACCGGACCTTAAAGTACGAATTTTCATTAACGAAACTGATGTGATTTTAATCCAATATATGCGGTGATATCTTTTAAATATATATGTCAACAACCTTTGTTCAGTGAGCTATAGACACTCACATATTTGAGTTTCTAATAAAAGAAATTCACTGGGATGGTGGAATTGGAATATTTAGAGCAATTCTGTTTACAAATATTAGTTAATTCATTAAGATCAATCCTTATCCTAAACCAATAATGTTTGCAATTAACGTCCCATGGCTGCTCGATTACTCTGTTATTGTATAAGTGTAACAGATGCGCAGGTGTCATAGGGCTGACATATATGGTTTTTAAAGAAACTGTGTTTATATGTTTTTAAAAAAGAAAATTCACGAGCGCTCGTAATCGGAAGGTTGCCGGTTCGAGTTCCGGCTTGGACAGTCTCGGTCGTTGTATCCTTGGGAAAGACACTAAACCCGTTGTCTACTGGTGGTGGTCGGAGGGCCCGGTGGCGCCAGTGGCAGCCTCGCCTCTGTCAGTGCGCCCCAGGGTGGCTGTGCTACAATGTAGCTTGCCATCACCAGTGTGTGAATGGGTGGATGACTGGTTATGTAAAGCGCTTTGGGGTCCTTAGGGACTAGTAAAGCGCTATACAATTACAGACCATTTACCATTCACCTTTAATGGTGGACCTAAAGGATAGATCACCTGTCAATCCGGTTGCTGTCAAACCTCCAGTCCATCAGTGCAGGAATTTATTCCACAACTTAAGTGACTTCTGCAGTAGCTGCAATGACAACAAGTAAACATTTGTAAATACTAACTTGTTTTTGAGGTCATTGGTCTTGTGATTCCTGAATCGGCAATATGCCTGCAGAAACCAAAATAGTTTGTTTTAAAGTAAAACTGGTCTTAACGCTGCACATGCTTTTTGAATTTTGTGCATAATGAGCTACCAGTTGATGAAATGTGTACCAACGCTTGGCTATATCTGCCAGCATCTGAATCAGCAGATCCTGTGCTGGCTTAATTACAGCTTAGCGATCTTCTCTGTAGTAGAAGCGTCCTGTCTTACCCACTGTTACTTCTCACGGTCAGTTGTCATTATATTGTTGTGCATTTTTATCAGCTTTCCATTGGAGCAATTCTGTACCGTATGACACATTGTTATCTTGTTTCCTTGCTTGAACTGTGCGTGTCCTGTTTCAGTGGAATGAGGTGACACGTTTGTTTCGGGCTGGCATGCCCCTCAGGAAACATCGCCAGAACTTCAGGCACTATGCTTCCTGTTTCACTGCTTCTGCTGCTGTTGATTGGCTGCACCAGCTGCTCTGTAACAACAGCAACTTTGGCCCCGACGTTACCAGGCAACAGACAGTTCAGCTTCTAAAGAAGTTTCTGAAGAACCATGTGATTGAAGATGTAAAGGGACGCTGGGGAACAGAGGACCTGGAGGACAACAATGTGCTGTACAGGTAATCTGTTGGCAGAAATGTGCTTTTGGGGATTATTTAACAAAACGGGGCTTAATATGTTGATTGTGCTCCACACAGCATCAAGCAGTCTGTTTTTTTTTTGGTTTTGTTTTCTTTGTCCACAGGTTTCCTTCCACTTCTCCTCTGAAACCCATCCCCTGTTCAGCTCCAGCCTCAGAGTCCAGATCCATAAAAAAGAGACCTTCATTCAAGGACAAAGAAGGTTTCTTCAGGTTTAGAAGCACAAGAAGGCAGGAGAAAGAAACCCAGGTGAGTTAGATTTATCACTGTTTCAATTTAAAACAATAATATGTTGCATTTGAGAGAAAAACAAGTTCATAGATGCAGTTTTGCACTTAAAAAAAAAAAAAAAAGATTCACTCTGTGATGTTGGTCCTTGTTCCGTACATGTGTTTCAGGAAAATGTGGATCCTGCACTCCGAATACAGCAGGAAGGCGACAATCAGCCAGAAGAAGAGCAGCAGAAACAGAGACGAGAGCTGACAGTGGAGGATGAACAGGAGATCTGGAGAGACATCACGCTGACCCAGTATAAACACACAAATCTAACCCCCCAAAAAACCATTCTGTGCAAAAAAAAAAAAAAAAAAATGAGAAAGACTTCCATGTATATCTAAAACTTGTGTATGTGTTTCAGTCTTCAGAGGATTCTGGATGTTCCATCTCTTGACGAGGTTTTAGACCATCGTTATGTGAATCCACAGAACATCATCCACAATATGACCAAAGTCAACAAACACGGAGTGGTCACACTGGACGACAAGACCAGTAGGTTCACACACCAGTATAAAGGAAAAAAATGTACAGGATAGTTTATGTATAAAGACCTCATCTTTGAAAAAATACTTTTTACCATAAGGATGTGCTTTGAACCACATACTAAAGTCCTAGAAGTGCCATTCTCCAGTGTAAAAGGCCAAAACAACATAATTTTTTTTTCTTCAGGTAAAAGTATCTGTGAAAATGTGGTGTTTCTGGGCAATTTTGAACCAAAAAGTCTGGACATAATTTAATCCAGAGGTCTCGAACTTAAATGAGTTTGACTCATTATACTGTAAACCAACAAAGAGTCTAACATTAGAACTGCCTCCATAGATGACCTTCCAGACTGGGTTCTGTCTGCCATGAGGAGCCTGGCCAATTGTGAGTAGCTGCAACTATGTCCTGCATTAACAGTTTTAAAAGGAAAAAGCTGTTTTGGTTTTTTTTTTTTATTGATTTTTTTATGTGGTTTAATGGATCTATTTACTGAAGATATTATTCAGTGTTGTTGCAGTTGCAGTAACATGGTGTTTATTTCCAGGGCCAAAGTACAACGGCACACAACAATCCTATCCTGGCTTTGAAAGAGATGTCTTCAAAACAGTGTCTGATTACTTCTACAGCCTCCCACAGCCACTGCTCACATATGAACTGTATGAGCTGTTTATCAATGTTCTAGGTGGGTTTGCTGCTTCCTGTTAATCTTTTAGGCCTTTCAGAATCTACATGTCGGTGTTGTGTTAGGATCAAATTCGGCTGCAGGTCTTTTCTGACATGTTGTCTCCAATGTGAGTTGAGTGTTTGAGCTCTAACAGTGCTTTGTGACCCCCTAACAGAAGTTTTGGTTGTTTGTGGAATCCTAACTGTGATGTGAGCTGCTGCACTTTTTGTTTTTTGTTGTGCCTGATCAGCTGTATGAACAGTAATGGTTTGAACTAACTAAACCTTCTCCTTCCCCTTTGCTGTCTGCTTGCACTGACACCCTGCCTGCCCCCTTGGCTTTCTCTGCCCATCTTCTCCATGTCTTCATTCACTTTCAGTGTTCTGCGGCTACGTTGCAGCGCCTTCTATGCACCAGCATTTGAAGCGCAAGAAATCAGACCTTCCTGCAGTCCCCCCTCCAGCCAAGTCGTCTTTTCGCTCCACGGAGTGTCTCCTCCTGTCGCTGCTCAGACAGGGGACATGCGACGAGACAGAATCCCCCATGAGGGAGGTAATTGGTGGGAAACTTCAGTCCCGGCTGGCAGCACTGAAAGGAGGCGGCGGTGCCGATGACGGCCCATTAGGAGGCAGCTGCATCAGCCTCAGTACAGTTGTTCCCACAAGACCTCAAACAAGGAGTTGCTCCCTGGAAACCATCCTGGATGACTCTGCCCCTCTTACTAGACAACAGCTGTTTCAGTCCAGTGACAGCCTGGCATCCTTTGCCTATAGCAGCAGGAGCCAGGACGACAGCTCTTCAATCACAACACCTCACATTCGTTCATTCGGGACATCTGTGTCCAAACCAGCACCCATTACTTCTGAAAACGCTCCAGGAGTTACAGCCAGAAACAGGCTGTCTGTCATACCCTTGGCTGGACTGTCAGCTTCACACAGGTCTCGTTCCTTACGGCCTCACAGCTTCAGCAGCTGCCTGGACATCGTCATAGAGACCAGGGAGGAAGATGTCAAAGAGCTTAAGTGGCAGGGTCGAGCAGCAAGCTGCCTCAGTGTAAACTCTCCTTCCAGTCAGTGTCAGGCTTCCTCAGCTTCACATCCTCCATCACTATCTTCCTGTCATCCCTTCTCTTCCTCCTTTTGTCCTTTCCCTTCTTCTTTCTCATCTGCTGCAACCAAAGCACAAGGGTCTAATGCTGCTACAGGACCCAGACCGGCCTCCAGCACCTCTAACCTTTGGACGCTTCCTGCACCTGCTGCTGTTCGCCGCTGCCTCAGCTCTCTGGAAGTGTCCCACCTGTCACAACCTGTTTCACTGCTCAAAGCGCCTGTGTCTGTGTCCGCCGGCAACTCCCAACCCCCCAAAAACCAAAATGAGCACAGTAAGACCCTCTCACCTCTACCTGTCTCCGTGTCTATGTCTAATCAAATTAACCTCATCTAACATCTCACCCCTACTAGCTCCAGTTTGTTCCCTCACTCAAAGCAGGAAGGCCAGTTCCAGAAAATGGCCTCTGTTTTTGTATTCAGCAGTTGACCTTTAACATTTAACAACAGGAAAAAGGCAAAAGTCTGTTTCACAGATCATGTAGCTGCAGCACAGTTTAGCCAGATAAACAGTGCTTGTTTTCTCGTACAGACCCCCAGATTTCATTAAAATCTATAGAAACAGTCTAAAAGGAAGATGGCATAGGAGTCCTTCATTCCTGGATGACAGTCGTGCTGCAGTGTCATGTTCACAAGCTTTACCTGCCTCAATTCACACCATAGCTATAGTCGATTCATTTTCTCATTCATCCATTCATTGTGTAGTCTAGCAAGTGTGACGTAGCAATGGATGAATGTGGTGCTGAAGTGTGGTTCTTCAGTTTGACTGAAAACACTTACTTGCGTGTGCGTGACTTTCTAACGGTGTTCCTTTATGTAGGCGTTCTCCAGCCTCAGTGTGAACGTGTAGCCATCGAGGCCCTGCAGCTCTGCACCCTCCTCCTTCCACCCGCCTCCCGCAGGAAGTTGCAGCTGCTCATGAGGATGGCGTCACGCATCAGCCAGAATGTAGACATGCCTCGCCTCCACCCTGCTATCGGCACCCGGACATTGGTAAGGAGCTAGCAAATATTTTTTGTTCCTGTCTAATACTCTGAACATTCCCTAAAGAAGTGTGAGCACAGACATGTATGTCATGTTCTTTTATCATGATGTCCCTGTTTGTTTACCTTTTATTCACTTGTGTATCTGGATGTTTGTCGTGGATTTCAGATGGTTCACACATTTTCAGGCTGTGTCCTGGGCAGTGCTGAAGAGTGTGATTTGGATGAGCTGTTAGCAACCAGGCTGGTGTCATTTTTAATGGATCATCAGCAAAGCATCCTCTCAGTCCCAGAGTACCTGCTTGGTGCCATCAGTGACCATATACAGTACCTACGAACATCACAGGTATACCTTCAAACTGTAAACCACAACCAACTAATTCTTAAAGAAGCAGAGTAAGTGATACCCTGCATGTCTGTTCAAATACAACTGCAGAAGCAAGCTGATAGCTGTGAATGCTCAAAATACACCTTTTCATGCTGCTGGAGGAACCTGCCAGCTTCATTGGGAGCTTTAAAATCTGTTAACATGTTGATTTCTTCATGTTTGTACTGTCCTGATTTCAGGTCCCAATTGACTCTGTTTCAAAGACTGACAAAAGCGATCCGGTTTGCCCTCCATTGCCGGTCTACACGTTCTGCCATCAGATCAGTGGCGCTGAGTTTGAACAGCAAAAACTGGAGTCTTCTCAGAAGGCCATGGAGGAGCTGCTAGAGATCCTGGTGACAGATCAAAACATCAGTGAGAAGGACAGACGCAAGAAACTGAAACGGGTAACGGTCTACTGAAAGTCCAGGCGATGCCTCAAGTCTGGTTCTGTTTGCACAAAGATGCAAAGTGAATAAAGAAGTGTCGCTCTTCCTGTCTTGATTTGTAACCCTAGTACTCGACCAATGAGTTTCTCATCAAGTTTCAAATTTCCTTCAGTATGGCGTGATGTTTTAAACTGTAACAGTGGTAGCTAACATGCCAAACCCCATGGTTTTAAACAGTCTCCCACTTGCTTATGGGAGAGGTAACAGTGGCTGTCTTTGATACACACTCACACATATTTGGTTTTGAGTCAATTTGCAGTGTTTTCAACTTGAAAGCTATTTTCAGTAGCTTTCAGATTCCTGAAGTTCACACAAGGATATAACAAGTCACTTCATATCCTCAAAAATGCTGGAAATCTGCAGACTCAGCAAAGTGTAATTTTCTTATTGTTCTCCTAAGTTTCAGAAGCAGTACCCAGACATCTACAGGCAACGATTCCCCTCCCCAGACCGAGAGAGCAAGACTGACAACAAACCAAAGATTAAACCTCCACTCCTCAACATCAAGAAGACCAAAGCTTTCAGCATCAGGAACTGAACGACTGCAGGAGGCGCGCTCTCGCCGCTTACGTCGTGATCGCTGCACTGATATCACACTCCTGGCAGGACAATTGAGAAGTCGTTTTTCCCATGGCAGCCAAAAGCAGTGTGTTACATTGGAAATGCTGTTTTTACTGTTGTGTTTATTGTAAGTAAATGTAGACTGGATGATTTTAACAGGAGTTGATTTGTGTATTCATGTGTTGTGTATATTTGTATTGAGTTTTGTGTGCTGACTTAGATGAAGGCTTGTGACCGTAGCTCTACAGAGTCGCTCATACCATTTACATGTTTTATGAAGAAAGGTACTTTACCTGTTGTCCCCTCACTTTTCTTTTCTATTTGTGTCTGATACTGGCCCGTGTGTGTTCGTGTGTGTTCAAGTAAGAAGCAAGCTCCAAAAGGCAATTGGGAGAAAAATATGCAATTCTAAGATCACTGGTCAATATGGGAGCAATTAGATTTCTTAATTTATATGAATGTCGACAGCAGGGGGGAGTGCTAGTTGTTGTTTGTTTTTTGTTATGTTGATGTCTTTTTGAAGTTTCAATATTTTCTATCATAGATGCTTAAGTTTTATTTGAAACTATTTGTCAGGCCTGATGTTGAGCATTTTCTCTTTCTTTGCCCTCATCTTATTTTTCCCTCTGTCGAGTATGGAGTTTTTAAAACTCTTTTTGAAATCTTAGTTTTATTTCTTGGTGATCTTTTTTCAGGATGCCAGCTTTTTCATATCTAGCTCAGTTATTTAAATCGCGTTAATCTTTCCAGTTTCTTTTTACTTCTTGAGCTTGTGTGTCTCATCCCTGCTTTGTTTAGTGGATTGTTTGCACTTGGAGCTAGGCCAGCATGCTTATGTCAATCACCAGTGTGGTCATTTATACATATTTAAGGCTTATTAGACTTCCCAAACCAAGTTTTTCCATCAGACACCTGATATGTCTTGGTATGGGTAGTGCCTTGTGAGAGCTTGACCTGAATGCGCATCCATTCATTTCAGTGCTGCATGCTGACAGGTATTTGGTAAACTGAGGGGAATTACACAACTCATGTCAAGTGTCTGAAGAAATCTTAATATTCAAATGGTGTCAAACGCTCTTTTATTTATCTTAAGCTACATGAAGTATTACTTCTACCCTGGTATGTTTGTGTTTACCTCAGATCAGATGGTGCATGCATGTTTAACCGCACACGCATTCATCATCGGTGTTCTGTGTTTTGTACCTACAACTGTTCCTCTACATTGTTTACTATGCAAAGTCCTGGGAAATAAATTGTTTTTAGCTGTTCAGTGTTTCAGTGGTGTTTGTATTGAAGTGACAGCTTTATTTAGAACATTATTATTATTATTATTGTTATTTCTGGCGTTGAACATCTACCTGGCAGGATTTTTTTCCCTTTGATATTAAATTGATGTTTGTGTTGGAGAGATTTTTGCACTGATTTTAAATTATAATCGAGCAACCCCTAAATGCATTTTGTATCCTGGAGACTGTTTAAACCTAAAAGCAGCTTCACAGTTTTATATTAGCGGGCAGTACCATGTGACTTCTTGTTTCTAAAAAAACAGCATCCATTTATTCCAGTGTTTCATGCTGACAGGTGTACGCTGGGGTGAATTACACAACCTGTCTCAAGTATCTGAAAAAATCTCAACAAATTCAACTCCCAAGTGTCAAACTCTCCTTTTTTATTTATCTTAAGCTGCATGAAGTGTTACTCCTCCCCTGATATGTTTGAGCTTACCTCAGATCAGATGGCGTGTGCATGTTTAACCACACATGCATTCATCATCGGTGTTTTGTACCTACATTGTTTCCATTGCAAAGTCCTGGGAATAAACTTGTGTAGCTGTCCAGTATTTCAGTAGTGTTTGTACTGACAGGACAGCAATAAAGGTACACGATTACATCTGCCTGGCCACCAGTTAGGTAATATTACCTACTTCTTTTTACGTTACTCTGATGCTCCTGGTGGGAAGATTATAATAGAGAATCACTTAGATGCATTTAATATCCTGAATATTCCTTACACCTAAAAGCTGCTTCACAAAGCAGCAGGCAGAACAAACACGGGCAGCCAGGCCGCTGCTAAAGAAGCTCGTTCAGTGTGCCCGAAGTTTCTCAACTTTTTATTACTTGTTAGAAGTAACTATAATCTGAGTGTAGCCAGTCAGAATTAAACCACAAAGTTTATTATTTGCAAATGTGTAAACTGGCGGGCTTCATGATTTCATATTTTTATTGTCCTCTATTACCTCCGTGATCTTTCTTGTGATCCAATATTTACATGATACTTCTTCCATGGCATAATAATAACAACCATATTATTATGCCATGGAAGAAGTATCATGTATCTAAAAGATGGACACAGTATGATTTCCGATTGATTTCTGGATTCTGCCTTAAAAACGTAGGTTTTAGCATTTTGGCTGCTGTCTTGTTGGATTTTGTGATCCAGAAGCAGAGATATTTAGATGTGACAATAAGTTGCTAAATGCCTGATAATTTGTGCCAACAGATTATTAAAATACTAGAATTAAATTCACTAAATCTGAATCACAAAATAAATGGTTGTTTTGTGTCTTAATGTTTGTCAGATTATGCAACTGAATGCGCTCCAGTAGACAGCAACACTACGATCGCAGTCAAGACCCAAAAGTCTTGTCTAGATAGCTATCAGCTTTTAGGAAACAAACAAAGACACACTTTGATACGGTTCCTTGACTTACCCACCTTCATTTCTTGTGATACTGCAGGCCGCAGGTGGTAGGGAAAGCATCTCAAACCAATAAGAATTCCACCTGTTGCAGGATGAAATGCAGCCCATTTGTGTGTGTGTGTGTGTGTGTGTGTGTGTGTGTGTGTGTGTGTGTGTGTGTGTGTTACTCTCCTTCCTCACTGAGTAGCTAATTAAAATAGTTTCTCAGCCTTTGTCAAAGCTGTCTGGAACTAATTAGATAAGATTCTTTCTGCAAGCATATCCACCTTCAAACACACTGCTTTTAAAGGCTGAATTTGCTAGTTTGACCCACATCACTGGTGACTGTTTGTGTTCCCAGACCTTGTTTAGGTGGGCCGGAGAAAGTTCTGCAAAGAGCCGGGGGCCTGGCGTCTGAAAGGAGAGGACACAAAGCTGGCTTGTTCAGCTCTGGTTAAGACTTGGGGGGAGGTGGAAGAGGTTTGGGAAGGGGTGCTGAAAAGGGGGAGCAAAAGGCATGAAGGGAAAATAGGAGGAGGAGAGGAGGAGGAGAAGAGGACGGGGAGCGAGGAGGGATGGAAAAGGGGAGGGGAGAAGGAGAGGAGGGTGGATGGGGCACCGTTTCCATTGCTTTCCACAGGAAATCTGTGCAGGGTTTAAATACCAGCCAGAGCCTCTTTTGTAAGCAGCTTGTGTGAAAGTGTGTGAAGAGCGTAGCAGCATGGTCAGCCGGTGAGTAACATCTTCTCTTTAGTTTCTCAGATGCATGGCAGTGAAGACAAACGCTTGAAAGGTTGAAAATGACTTTTCAAGGTTGGGTTTTGCTGGTTTTCCCCAACAACATAACAGAAAGCAGCTGGCAGACGTGCTTTGTTCTGCTCTGCTCGAAATGATCTGATGATGAGTCATCGGAGCAGATTTCAAACAGTTTACCTCGGGAGTTTCAACCTGAAATTTCACAGTAAGTCACTGGTGCTGTAGTAAAATACTCGATGGATCTTAGAAAAGCTCAGAAAAGCTGATGTATGTACTCTGAAGGAATCTTGGCCCAGTAACTGAGGAAGAATTTCAGCCCTGCTTCTACCACACAAATGCAACAAAGCAAAACAAAACTGTAAGAAAGAATGTTGATTTTAAAAGGAATAGAGAAATGTAAGAAAACACAAAAATAATAATACATGACAAAACAAGACCACTCAGAACCCCCAGAGGAGGCCCGCTGTACTTCTGTGAAGTTTGAAGACAGCTGAGGAAATAGTCAAAGTCCAGTGTGACCTGGACTTTGACCTGATTTTCACAAAAATTAAGTCAGCTCGAGCTGTTGTTGGTATCTACGGTCTGAGAAAATGTGGAAATGATATCTTGACAGCTATGGATGCTAGACTGCAAACAAACAGACAGACAAACAAACAAATGGAACCAATTACATACTTCCTCCCTTTGAGGGGAGGACAATGGGTAAGATAGCCAACAAACGACAAACAAACTGGCTGTTAACAAGACAAACAAGGAACAAGCAGTTGAGAAAACTTGTAGACATATTTCATTATTTCTGAAGTCCAAAAAAGAAAAACTTTTTGTATTTTGTTTGCAGCGTGGAGCATCCTGCTGCCAGCTACAAGAAGATCTTTGAGTCTGTGGAGGAGCTGAATGAACCCATACCAGCAGTTATCACTGGTAGGAAAGAGCGACTGACAAAAAACAAGTAGCAATGCATGGCTGTGTCGATGGCAGTGTGGCTTTAATCACTAACATTTATGGCTCCAAGACAGCGAATCATCCGAAATTTCCTCCAGTACCAGTGTTCATGAGATTTCTGATTTAGTGGTAATGAATAATCTGCAGTTAAATATGCTTTAGATATTGTGAGAGTCCTCTAAAGATTTATCATTACAGGTTGGGCAATTATGAACAAATCAAGGATCACATGTGGGAAATTAGAAATTCTTTATTTTGCTAAGGAACATTTAGCTGTGACAGATCTCCTGTCTCCATAAACTTGCATCTATGATCTGATGACTATTACTTATGAGTGGCAGAAGCAAAGAACAATGTGGCAACTCCTCTATTATATGTTCACATTTGCAGTGTGAAGGTGGCAGGTAATGGCAGGTATACAAGGGGGAGTCCATTTTTCTAAACTTAAAAGTATATTGGTTTGCTTTTATAACTTGCGCAACAACTTTCAGGTCATGTCATTGCATATGTTTACAATGATGGACTGTAGGAAAGGGGGAGGGGAAGGATCCAGGCCATGCACAGTATAAAAACTGGACATACAGCTACTGTCACAATGTCATCTGTTGATTTCTAAAGTGCAGTTTTGAAACGTCATGATTGGTGTTTTCATTGTCACCATCTTGAGCTAAAAAAAAATTTTTTTTAATTTAAGCAGGTGCGACAAACACGGGCAGGTGTGATTGCTCTCTCCCTATTTACTTGTCAATCACAAGTCATCAACAAATTGACATGTCATTCTGAAACATAGTATAACCAAGATTTACAAAATAGACTTCGCTGTTCTTCATGAAATAAGTGACTGAGCCCATAAACTCAGGAAAGGGTTAACACAGGGGAATGCGGGAAGACTTTTCCCATAGACTGCTGTGGGACCTGAACACTTTCAGTAACCACAGCTATCCCCATCTGGTGGCCTTCAGATTGCATGCAGGGCTAAAGCATTTTACACTGGCTGTGTTTCCTCACATGGAATCTACATTTATGGTTTTCTAACTCCTCTCTTGAAAACTTCCACTGATGGTTGCATTGATATAACAACAAAATTTCATCACAAGCGTGCGGTTTCTCCTATTTTTTTATCATCTGAAATGTCAAATGGAAACATCTGCAAAAGGCATTTCTCCTATGACATCCACAAGTGCACTGCCTATTTCAAAGTCATAGTGAAACAATAAACACAAGTTAGCGGATTATATTAACGCAATCATCTAATATACACTAAAATAAATATGTACGGCATAGTAGCATAACGCCTGGAAATACACTGGCCAGCATTATCACTACACAAGTGTGCTTCTTTAAATTACGTATAGTTATTTGTTAGTTCTGTATTTAGTGTTTACTCAAATAAAACTCCTTTGGTGACCATTAGGTTACTCACAGGTAACGTACATTGAACATGACACGCGAAAGACACAAACATTGCTATCACAGAAGGATAATAAAATGAACATAATACTTAAGAAAATCAATAGTTAGGATTTATAATAACATTATTATGTAACATATACGAATAAATATAAATATGTATATATGTGGCATGTATATGTGGAGTGTAATGTTTTTTGATTGAATTAAATGTTGTACATTGGTTAACATAAAGGCTACTGTGAAAGTAAATCCTTTGATGCAAGGAAAATAGAGAGAAGACATTAGTCTGACTTAGTCTGAGATATACTCAGCTTCAGGCCTGACCTGTTCACCCATCTACGCAAAATGCATTTTTGGTGTTACTGCCAGGATCAGTCTTGTGGATAAAAATACTGTAGTGTTATAAGTGACACTGGGGTGTTAGAAATGGGTAAAGTTTGATACTAACCACTTGGTGTGCATAGTGTGAAAACAGGTGTAGAT